AAAAGAAATGAACAAGGCGAAAACTAAAAGAATAAATCACCTTTGTATTGAAAAGAGGTGGTGTATAAGTATGGACATAATCCTCCAAATTCTTTTCTTCTACCCTTTGATTGGCCTTCTGGTCGCTAGTAATAAAATTGGAGATGAACGTCTCCAACAAAGGGCACTTCTGGACAAAAAGTAGTGTCAGGAAGGGGAACACTAAGGAATATCCAGAGCAAAATCTTTTGAGTTTGGGAAGGCCTTCAAGTCTTAGGCCTACAAGATTTGGGAACAAAATCCTTTCTTCTTCTGCTAATCCTTCTGTTACTATTACCTCCTTCATCATTGTACAATCACGAATTATAAGAAATTTGAGAGCCACAAAACTTTTGATCGTTGAGGATGTAAATAGATATTTCAAATTAGTACATCCTTCCAGAGTCAAGTATTCTACACTCTGAACAACCGAAGACATTGTTGAAAGTTGTTTCGGGAATATTTGTTGCATGTTCAATGAGGACAGTTTCAACTCCACAAAGCTGGAAAACTGAACCTGCAAAGTGTAGACATTTTATACTTTGAAAAAAAAAATCAAAAAACAAAACAATGTATCACATCATTGATTATAAATCAAGTTATTTCTGAAAAATCAATGTATCACATTTTATATGCCTCAATATGTTAATGATTTACACATAATGTCTTTGGAAAGGAATAACACTACCTGCAGGACGTCATGCATTACTACTGTTACAACTGCTGTTTGAGGTGGCCTATCGTCCAACTCAGTTCTGTGGGGGTTAATAATGCTTAATAGATTTGTTCATTGAAATCTAAGTAATTTTACTTCTAAGAGGAGATGTGTCGTCATTCTCTTGTTGATCTCTAGAAGTATTGTGAGTGAAAAATGGGTTTAAGGGAAGTTCACTAGTATTCGATCTTTTCTGTGGAGTGATGTCTCGAGGATGAGTAGATCAGTGTATGAGGAAAGCATGTGAACATTGACATCAACATTAACTTAATGGAATCACACACACACATGCATATTTATATATATATATATATATATAGAGTAGAAGTAGCACAATCTAAGTTGCAACTACTAGTTGAAAATGCAACAAAAATCCAGAAAAATGTATAAAAATAAAATTCTTCACTAAAAGGCTGACCTGATCACTGAAGAATGGTTCAGCACGGATATCAAGAACTTCCTTTTTGTGCATTTCTTCACTTCCTCCACCAATTGTCTCTTTCTCTTGCACTCTTGAAAACATTGAAGAAAATGTAACCATCTTTGGACAATTGGCTATCTCGATTTTTGTCAATGATGGACACTCAAGTTTATAAGTTCCCACAATAAAACTTGTCAATTTGGGACAAGACTTCAGAGAAATGACAAGTAGATGGGGGATTATCATTTGATTTTCTGGTACCTCAATAGCTTCCTCTTGTGTGATGATTTGCTCTATCATTTTACAGTTTTGTACCATGATTTGCAGGAGACGAGAAAGACTCAACACCATGGAAGGAGTTAAGAGGTATCTCAAGCTATCACAGTTACAAATTTCCAGTTTCAAAATCCCTTGGAAATCCAAGATATCTTCAGGATTCTTGTTCCATATTTCCCTCAATTTAGGAAACTCTGACAGTTTCAAATGGCTTAACCCAGCATATCCAATCTACAAATGAAAAACATTTCTAGTTATAGCACAAGAACGCAACTAAATTCATTAAGTAAAAAAGAAAAGAATAATAACTTTCAATTTTCATTTGATGATATGATTCATAAAGGGCTTGCAAGATGGAAAACATTTCTAACTTTGTAGTTCAATCCATACCTTTTCATTGTACAATTGATTTATGGTGCTATTCAGTTCACCCACCGGACACCCCTCATAGTTGTCTTTCAGTAATATCCTCTTTAGCATTGGAGTCTTTACGACTCCCTTACAGAAGGTCTCCATGTTGGGACATTGAATCACAACCAAGTGTTCTAGAGTTGGGAACTTGAAAGTGAAATTAAGTCTTGAACAGAAGCTTGTGAGTTTTGTTAACCCTTCCAGTTCCAAAACTTTTAATTTCATAAAAACAATCTCATTTTCTAAGCCATCTCTCTCGTCTTCAACTATTTCAGTCAGAGAATGGCAGTCTTTTATTCTCATTGTTTCAAGCTGGACCAGGCTTTGAGCTGTTGAGAGTGAAACCAAGTTTCTTAACTGTCTGCAACCAGATACGACCAAAGTGATGAGACTCTGGAAAGGTGCCGTAGATGCTGATAAGCTAATCAAGCCATCACAGGCATCCACTTTCAGAATTTTAAGATTTTGAATAATTAGGCCAGCTCCTCCAGAATCTTGGTTACATATTTGCCTCAGATTATTAAGTAATTGCAACTTCAACTCTCTAATATGTAATTGTACTGTTCCCACATATTTCTCCTGATCCTGACCAGCAGTGTCTCCTTCAGAAGGGAATAACTCCTTGAAATTAGAATAAGCTACATGAAGCTTTTCCAACTTGCGGAAACGTTGAAGGAAGTGAGTTGC